CTGATGCCGCCTGGCCTGCGATGTTCCTCCAGCTCCACACTGTGTTACCTTTAATGTAGGATACAGCTTAACAGACTTGTAACCTCTAACTTTACAGCTCAAGAACGGTTAACTAGCCTATAGTTTCCTGCTTTGTCACCTTCTTTTCCTGAATAAGAGATGTCATGATGGTGATTCTTCAGTCTGGGATCTTTCCAAAAATTAGGGAATTTTGGAAGAATACAACCATTGCAGCTACTACCTCTGCAGCCACTTCTAAGAACCTAGGATGAAAGCCACCAGGTGCAGGGAACTTGTCTACTTTTAGTTCTAATATTTCCCCAATGACAGATTGAAATTCCTCCCCTTCCTTTTACATCTTAATTTTCAAGCAGTCTTGGGACATGCTTTTCGGGGTCTTCTACAGCGAAGAAAGGCACAAAACACCAGATCAAGGCTTCTCTCATTCCCTTGTTTTCCACTACTAATTCCCCAGTTTGATCCTCTGCAGGACTAATGCTCACTTTAGTTTCTTTTATCTTTTTTAAATACTGTTTTTATACTTTTAGCAAGCTTTCTCTCATACTCAGTTGGAATGCGGTCAAGGATATTAAAGGAAGTAGCTAAGAAAAGAGTGATGTTCTGAATGTAATTTTCCAAGAATTTAGGTTCTTTAAATCCATAAATTCCCAAGGATTGGAAAAATGCCAATGTTACATTCTTATTCAAAAAGGAAGGAGACAGTTAAACAGTTAACAATAAGCCAGACAGTTGAACATCCATCTGTGTCATTTTAAAGTCTACTATAAAGGATGCATTTAGAAATTCATAACATAATGAAGCAGAGTTTGGATGGCTTCCTCAAGGGATAATCATGTCTGACAAATTTATTAGAATTCTCGGAGGAGGAAATAAGCAGGATAGGTAAAAGGTAATCAATCGGAAGAAATATATTTGAAACGTGTTTGATAAGCAAAATAGGATGCTTAACAAGCGCTCATCACATTGGGAGATAGTATACTTATATAGATAGAAGACTGGCTAACTAAAGGACAGAGCTGGAATAAAGTGGAACATTTTCAGGCTGGCAACCTGTAACTTGTGGTGTGCCACAGGGATCAGTGCTGAGGCCACAATTATTTACAATATATATTAATGACCGAGATGAGGAAAGTGAATGTACCATTACTAAGCTTGCAGATAACCCAAAGATAGAGTATGCAGAGGATATTGACCGGTAAAGTGTGTGGGCAAAAAGCTGGCAGGTGGAATCTAAGATGTGAAATATGAGGTTGTGCACTTTGGCACGAATATTAGAGGAACTAAATAGAATAAGCTTACAATGTAAACCCACTGTCATTATAAACTGAACAAACAGAGCTCATTTCAAGCAGGACACAATCGAGTTTGGACAACAAAGTGCAGGGCTGGATGAACACAGCAGGCCAAGCAGCATCACAGGAGCAGAAAGGCTGACGTTTCGGGCCTAGACCCTTCATCAGAAAAGGGTGAGGGGAAGGGGATTCTGAAATAAATAGGGAGAGAGTGGGAGGCGGATAGAAGATGGATAGAGGAGAGGATAGGTGGAGAGGAAACAAACAGGTCAAAGAGGCGGGGATGGGGCCAGTAAAGGTGAGTGTAGGTGGGGAGGCAGGTGCTAAGGAAGGTGATGTGGCTGTAGTACCTGGTTTGTTTCAGGACATGGTTGAGCAGTTTCAAGGCCGAAGAGATTACGAGAGAGTTGCAGTGGGAGAGAGATCCCCTGAGGTTTGTCTGGAGGGAGGAGAGTAACTTCTTCAGGCTCGGCATCCTTAGAAGAGGCTTCGCAGTGGGGTTAAAATTGAATCAGAGATGTCTGGTTTCATTTTGCATCTAGATCTCACTAGCATGACCAGTCTCATATTACTTATGATGGAAACTGTTGATTCTGGAAGTTAAGGCTTGGAAAATTGTGACCATGAAAAATACACTCACCCACCGCAGTCACAGTTGAGGACCCTTCATCCATCACATCTACAGGTTCTGCCAGCAAAAGCTGAGTTTTGGAAACTACTGTGAGGACTGCCAGCACATCGAGAGCACAACGCACAGTGTCATTTCTGAAGGAAGGAGAGATTAGAAAATTAGGGTATGCCATACTTAGGCTTCATACTTATAGGACGCACTGTGAACCTGTACAAAAACATTTCTGATCTTGGTAATGCAGCCAAGCAATAAAATTAATGGGGAAAAAAAAATCATCTATAGAATTCCCTTAAAGGCTAGACATTAAATGTCTTTCCTTTTGGAAACACAATTTATAACAGAGAAACAGGACATTAAGCTCTGCAGAATTACGCCACTGTTTATATGAACAGCACACAAGGCGCCTACTACTTTACTTTATAGCATCCTAACAGCATATTCCTCTATTCATTTCTTCATGTATCTATCTTGTTTCTCTCCAATGTATCTATGCCAGTCACCTCAACACTCCACACACTAACCAAAGTAAAGCTCCTGAATTCCTTATGGGATTTCTACATTTCCCTTATAGGCCCTGGTTTTGGATTGCCCTACAAATGGAAGTTTCATATCTACATTTGTCCTGTTAATAACTCTGAAGACCTCGATCATATCACTTCTCAACCTTCTTTTCTCGGGAAAGAGAGTACTGGCACTTCAGCATTTCCTGATCCAGTTGAATAAGTTATCCAGGAAACCTAATGGCACTAAAATAGTATCTTAGGATGTTTTACATTCAGACAGGGCAAGTAATGGCCTATAATCTGGTGTCATGTGATTTTTGACGTTATCCAACCCAGAACAATACCAGCACTTCCACGTCAATCCCTAAAGCCACACCTGATAGCTCTTCTTTCCAAGGCTCCTTGTTTTACTGTGTCAAATGGCATTTAAACTGTTTATCAAGTTCATTACGTTTCTTTGGCTCAATTGTCTACTCTCCAACCTCTGCGTTTCCCTCTGAACACCCAAGACTTTGATCAGTCCTCCAAATATCCCCATTTTAACTTGGCAATCACTTTTTGATTGTAGCTCTGTAAAGCTTTCTGTATTAAACACACTGCACAAGTACAAGATGCCATGCCAATTTTGGTGTCTTCTATTAGATCACCAGAAAACATTAAAAGAAAGCAAGGTATACTCTATTTTTATTCTGCTTCTTTAAACAAAATGTGCTGAAATGAGCTAACCATTATTCAAACCATAGCACTTTATCTCATCTTCAATCTGGCCCTATTTCCTGCAATCTAATGGTCTTTAATACCCAAGTTGTTACCTAATCTATCACTATTTATCTTATTTCTCAAAACATAATCGTGGGCAAAGGCTGTCTGCAGATTCAAGTAATGAAAATACCAAGAATGTTACATTTCAAAAATGCCTAACCTGAGAAACAATAGCTCTGCTATCCCAAACACAATGGTGGCCAAACTAGAATGGCTATTTTAAGCAAATGTGTTTGCTTAAGTTTAAATATATGGATGCATGTATTTTCCTGAACAATAACAGAGGAAAAATAATGGTTTGGGTAACGCTCATACTGAAGGCCGAAGATGATTGCTTCCATTCTTGAAGCCAGTTTATACATCTTTCAGGGCCCTGCACAAAGCTGGAAGCAGAGAAAGACCAAGGAAGCAGAGAATAGACAAAATGAAGATTCAGTTTTCAGAAAATGCCGAATGAATGACTTAAACAGCTAGGCTTATTCAAAGCCCACAACAATGAAATGAATTAACTTGCCCCACCTCCACTGTTGAGCTGATAAATGGCAATTTAACAAAAGTGGTAAACTTGAGAATAACATCTTCACAGTCAAATTTTGCAGTGACCCTTCAGCTGAATGTTAGAAATATGAATCAAAGTCTACCTGCCATAGTAAGTCCTCCAATCACAAGCAATGGATATGAGCTGTAACAGAAGTTGTACACAAGAGAGCTTGTGAAAGACCTCAGCTGGCTCCCAGAATAGTCTTGCTGGGCCATATTCAATCAGAAACTCCATCATCTCCATTACCTGCTCATGGGTATAGGAACAGGCCTAAAAAAAAAGACAGATTCGAAACAACGTAATTAGTTCCAGTACTTCCACAGCAGCCACGTCAACACCTAGGCCCCAATCTATCACTGCAGGAGAGCCACATTCAATGTGCAGAATCTGGTGAAGTACTTCAACAGATGTTTTTCTGATAGATCACCATTTGATTGAGAGAGAGATTCCCTGAGGATAAAAAGGCTTTTAACTGAACATACAGATCCTTTTCACATTTCTAAAACAGATATTTGAAAAAGATATTCCTCACATGCAGTATACCTTCGAGTCAGAGTTTTTACAGTGCAGAAAGATGCCCTTTGGCCCATCACATCTGCACTGCTCACTGAACATTTATCTATTTAATGCCATTTTCCAGCACTTGGACCGTATGCTAATGCGTTTCAAGTGTTCATCTGAATAGTTCGTAGAAGTCTCAAGAATTCCCACCTCTGATTCTTTCAGGCAGTGAGTTCCAGATAGCCTAAACCCTCTGCGGTTCACTCAAATCCACTCTTAACCTCCTGCTCCTTATCTTAAAACTGTGACTCATTCAGCCCACCACTAATTTGTCCCTATCTAGACTGTCTTAACCCCTCAATCAGGTACCTGAAACACCACTTTCCCTGTTCTAAGGAAAACTATACCAGCCTATCTAGTTTCTCTTCAAAGCTGAATCAGTCCAGCCCAGGCAAAATCCTGGTGAATCTTTTCTGCACCCTCTCTAGCGCTATCACATTGTTCCTTTACTGTGGTGACTACAACTGCATACGGTAATTCAGCTGTGGCCTAACGTACATTATATACAGCTTCATCATAACCTCCTTGCTCTTGTATTCAGTACCTTGACTAATAAAGGCAAGTATCCCATTTCCTTCTTAACATTACCCGCACGTTGTGCACGTGCAGCCGCTCCGATATTCCATGTACTGCAGTCTGTGCGACGTGGATCACCACACTAGCTTCCAGTTTTGGAAGTCACTGCTGTGCACTGACCTCGGAGGTCCGCGCTGAAGAAAATAAAATTAGAAAGAAAGTTGCTTCTTAACTATCTATCTTCAAGAAACAACAGACATCACATCAAGGTCCCTCTGACCCTCTATACTTCCTCGGGCCCTACTATTCAATGTGTACTCCCTTGCCTATTTTAGTCCACCTAAAATGCATCACCTCACACTTTTCAAGATTGCCAATGTCTGAACAACCCTTTTATATCCTCCTCCTCACGATTCAGTGCCACCACCAATTTGAGCACTTATGCAAATTTACATACATCCCACATTCATGTTCAGGGTGGGGGCGGAATTTGCAGTGACTTGCTACATTAGATTGAATGCAAACTGGATCTTGTGCTGAAACACAACCATGTTTTCTGTATGAAACATAGGAGTAGGAGCATTGAATCCTTTGAGCTCGCTATGACCTTCATTAGGACAACGGCTGATCATACAACTCAGTACCCTGTTCCCACGTTATCCCCCATACCCCTTGATCCCTTTAGCCCCAAGAACTACATCAAACTGCATCTCGAAAACATTTTATGTTTGTTCGGTGGATGTGGGTGTCACTGGCTAGAATAGTACTTATTGCCCATTCTAATGGCCCAGAGGGCAATTAAAAGTCAACCACATTGCTATGAATCCTGAGTAACATATAGGCAGATCAGACAAAGGTGGCAGATCTCCTTGGAGATTAGTGAATCAGATGGGTTTTTACAAGAATTGACAGCGTTTACATGGTCGCCACTGGGTTGGATTTTTATTAAATTCAAATTTCGCCATCTGCCACGGCGGGATTTGAACTCATGTCCCCAGAATATTCACAAGGGGTTCTAGTTTACTAGTCCAGTGACATTACCATCACGTCACTACATCCTCACAATTCAAAGTTTTGGCCTCATTTGCTTTCTGCTGCAGAGAATTCCACAGGGTTACCATTTTCTGGGTGAAGAAATTTCTTCTGATCCGAGTCCTAAAAGTCCTTGCCCCATATCCTAAAACAGTGACCCTGGATTCTGGACTCTGCAGTCATCAGGACCATCCCTCTTGCATTTACCCTCTCTAGTCCCGTTACAATTTTATAGATATTTTCCAATTAACCTTTTCAGAGATATTATCACACATCTCTGGAACAGGTGGGACTTGAACTGAGGTCTCCTGGCTCAGAGATAGAGACAGGTCAGAATTTTTATGTTTATGGGAATATACAAAATTACTTTGGAACAGAGAATGAAGTCATGAATCTTTGTGAAACAAAACTTTTGAAACTAACATACACACCCTCCATTTAACTTAATACATTTTTTAGGAAAGGCTTGGACAATAGGACTCAAATGTCTAAGCTGTACCCAGTGCTGCAATCATTTGAGATCTTCCTGATAAAACAGAAGCAGAAAACTTTTTCCAAAGTGAGTTACGTTTGTTTCTGTTGTGTATGAATTATATACTTAACTTTTGGACACAGGACACATGCGCAACAAGCCCATTTTCGGATGTAACCCCATGTCTGATGAGAAAGTTGCTGTCTGTGAAAGCTGGAGCACACGTTGATTCTTGAGGCACAAGTTCTGGGGTTCCCAGTCAGCATGCATGTATGCCAATCACATATTAACATGCTCAACTTGCATACAGCCGCATAAATAGCAGCTTGCATACAGCCTAGCATATTTGGCATTTTTGAATCATTGGTAACCCCAGGTCTAGAGATGGAAAAGGGAGGAGAGGTTTCAAACTATGCTGCAGGATTCTGTAGATGCATGAATCCAATTATGTTAAACATAGTTAACACTTCTGTTGATTTCAGATGAATACACAATAGTATTTGAGAATTAGGGTCCTACAGCGTAATTCAGCTATCCTTCTATTCACTGAGCACACGTATTAAAAGACTTTATAAAATAACATGAAAACAGCATAAGCAGTGTTCAACACTGCCCACAATTAGTCTGTATGAGCACTACATGCTCCTTAAAAAGTTCTGGAAAAGTAGGTGTGGATTACTTTCTCTCTTGCAGAGCATATGGAAACCATATGTGGTTAAAGGTCCTTAGAAAAAAATAACAATTCTATTGTCACCTGACCTTCCTACTTGCGATTAATTCAGAAATATCCTTTAGCAAATATCAGGTGCAGGACAGGTTTTGGTAAAGATATTTTAAACCGGTCTCACATTCATTTCAATTAACTGCAACCTAATCAAATGCTCTGGGGTCACTGGTTCAAATTCCACAATTAATAAAACCTGGAACTGAAATCTAATCTCAGTGATGACAACCATAAGCCACTATTATAAAAATCCATCTGCCTCACCAATGCCCTTTAGGGAAATAAATCTGCCGTCAACTAGTTTGGAATGTGAGAGACCCTAGGGCCACAGAAATGTGGCTGACTCTTCACTGCTCTCTTAGCAATTAGAAATAGGCAACAAATGCCAGCCTTGCCAGTAAGGTCTGCATCCTATGAAGAAACAAACAAAAAAAATTCTTTCTGGAGAAATATGTCCTCTTTTTAAATATGATGCAGAGCCACAGCTTCCTGCTGTAGAGTAAGTTACCCCATTTCATACAATCATAGAATCCCCACAGTGTGGAAACAGGCCATTTGGCCCAACAAGTCCACACCGACCCTCTGAAGAGCATCCCACCCAGATCCACCCCCTACCGTATCCATGTAACCCTGCATTTCTTGTGGCTAATGCACCTAACCTACACATCCCTGAACACTATGGGCAATTTAGCACAGCCAATCCACCTAGCCTGCACACCTTTGGACTGTGGGAGGAAACCAGAGCACCCAGAGGAAACCCACACAGACATAGGGAGAATGTGCAAACTCCACATAGAGAGTTGCCCGAGATTGGAATTGAACTTGGGTCCCTGACGCTGTGAGGCAGCAGTGCTAACGACTGAGCCACCATGCCACCCAGAAAATGGAGATCTCACTCATGAAGTTATTGCCCCAATATCTGACTTCATCTTTAATGCCTAACTTTTGTTTTTTTTTGCCACAACTATTTTGCAATTTTATCGTTAATAATGTACGGTTCTCATGTTGGAACTGGTTAATTTTTTGAAATGGGCTAATTTTGTTTTTAAATTAAAATCTGACTGAGCATTCCAGACTTCTTTTTGATCTGTGATTAATTTTGCCTCTTGATAGGTTCATGGCAAAAGGCTGCATTGCATTATATTGGATCAGTGCTCTTTTGACTTGAACATCCCTCTTCCTAGGCCAATCTTTACCTTCTTCCTGCTAGCTGTAACTAGAATTTATCAATTCAATCTTTATACAGTTTGTATTAAAACTGATTCTTTTCATAATTTGTGGAACTCATCTCATTCCTCCTGCTTTTACAATACTAACAGACCTATACTTTGCCTTATGATTATTTTCTGATTTAGTATTCCTGCATCTCTTCAATTTGAAGGTATTTTGTATATAGAGGCCATGTTTCCAACTGACAATTTGATTAACTTGGGTTCAAAGATTGTTTCAATAGACAGCTTCATGCAGATAAGTGGGACTAGTTTAGTTTGGGAAACTTGGTTGACAAGTTGGACCGAAGGGTCTGTTTCCATGCCATAAGACTCTGACTCTATAAGCAACATAAATAGCTTGCACTTTGGAAGATACTCCAGTTACATGAAAACTCCTCTTCAATGAACAAACGATCCACAAAGGGACAGGCTATCATGTGTGGCTCGAAGGTATTGCTTCTGCATGGGTGGATCTGCATTAATTCTATTTCCATTCTGGTTCCATGGACCACCAATAATCTTCAGTTGGCAGCAGACGATGAGTGTTTACAAATTAGACTGTGCCACAGGAAGAATGGATTTTTGTTTTCCCAAGTGACTGTAAGAACAAGGATCATTATTTCAAAATGAATCACAAATGCTAAGTAGGATGATTTTGATGAATGACAACTGAATTTAAGTATCTATTATAGGTCTCGTTGGAATGTCAAAGAAGGCAACAGTTAATTCATGAAGCTTTCAGAGCAATCCACCATAAGCCTGTTGTGGGGTTTGGTGCCAAACTCTTCACCCATCCTGAAAACATTGACAGCTCTATATATAGAAGCATCATTTCTCTGTACACACCTTGCATGGTGGGTGAGGGTGAATAATAGCACCACCTTCTGTTCGTTGCAACGATCTTTTCACTTGCTCCACTTTAATTCCCAAATGTGACTCGAAGTACCTACGTAGAGCCATACATGTGTGCTTGGCAGTCTGGCGACTGGCAAATATCTCATCGTCACTCAGCAATGCACCCTGATCTTCCAGGTTTAAGATTTCCAGTGTGCTGATCTACAAGGATCACACAAAACAAAAAGTTAAATTCAGGACAATCTGTATATGGTTAAATGTAATCATGGAACAGGTGAAGTCTGCCTAGCCTTTAGCTTGGCCCTTTAATTTGATAATGGTTGATCTATATTTCAATGTCATTTGTGCACCTAAACTCCACATCTCCCAATACTCATACCCAACTAAAAAAATCAACTTAAAAGCATCAACTTCTGCAGAATCCATAGCCTCTTGGGAGAAAGTGTTTCAGACTACTGCTACTGTATGTGAAAAAGCAGTTCACAAATTCCAGCTGGATGACATGAAGATGTGTCCTCGACTTTTTCCACCAGATAATTTCCCTGCACTCACCCAACAATTCAGTTTAACATTTTAAGCGCCTCAATTAGATCACCATAAGAATGTTAACTTGTCGGCACAAAGAGCAAATCGATTTGATTACAGATTTAAGTGAGCACTGATTACTCAGAGCAGCCATTTTTATAGACTTACTTTACATTTTTTTTCAAAAAATGGTTTGCATGTCCAAAATGTCACCTCTCCTGAGACCTATTTGCTCCCTTCCCGGCAAACTAGGACAGCAGTTTATTTCCGTGGCTCACTGTCCCATTTATGTGGCTATTTGTGCGCTATTTTCCTCAGTGCATTTGTCTCAGCTCCACAGATATCAAAAAAATGTTGCTGTACAAACTCAAAATCAGCTTACAGGACGAATTAAAAATCAGCCAAAAAAAGTCAACAGTACCAGGTTTACTACTCGTCGGAGACCATCTTGTAAATCAAAAAGTTCCAGAATGGAGCGAAAAGCGAAAGAGATGGAGAAAAACAAAGTGGCATGACAGCGGCCCGACTCATGGGAGCATTCCAATAGCCACAGGGTGTAGCTGACAACATCGGACAGTACGTACTGTGGTAACAAGCACAGCTGGAGAGAAAAGAACAACGATCAACACATTGGATCAGAAATAAATGCTTGCAATAACTTAGAGAAAGAAAGGAAGGACTGGCCTTTACATAACATCTTACACAGTCTTAGCATGTCCCAAAGCATGTTGCAACTAATGTAGCAATTTTAAATTGATTTAATCTTGCATTGCAGGAAACACAGCAGCTAAGAGCACACAAACAGCAACCAGATAACCTTTTTCCAGGTGTTGGTTGGGGGATAAACATTGACCTGGATACCAGGAAGACAATGACTACTCTTCCTTGAATAATACCATGAGATCTTTCACATCTACCTGACAGGGCATCAGTTTAATGACTCATCTGAAAGACAAGACCTCGACAGTGCAGTGCCTGCATACTGGATTCTCTGCATAAATTTTGTGATTAAGTCCTCGGAGCTAAATTTGTATCCAGCTCTTGCAATTCAAGGCAATAGTGTTACCAACTGAGTTTCAATTATATAACTTACATTTATACAGCATTTTTAAAACAAGAGGATGTCTTAAAGGCATTCCATTGCAATGTTTTGAGTGAGAGAAATCTGACGCAAGGGTTCATTAGGACAGTTGACAAAAAGCCTGGTCAGAGGTAGGTTTTAGGGAATTCGAATGACAACACGGATGCAGACGCCTAGGGTGGGATCTGCAAATGTTAGGGCATACATGTTGAAAGCAAGTCTGTCAACAATGGGCAAGAACAACACAGCTACTAATTTATAGTATCTTCTCTATTAGAGACCATTATCTTAGAGACTGAATCCTTAGGCAAGAAGAGAAAACATACAGGTGAAGCAGCTAATCAGCCCACTAAAAACAAGATTATTCAAACATTTTTAAATTCTGCGCATCACATCAAGTACTGCAAAAGAAATTCATCTTCCAATAACAATGAAGGCATTCCCAGCACAGTGCTAGACTCACCCGTTCCATCGCATCCTGGTTGTAAGCCAAATAATACAAACACAGGGACACTCCTGTGGCAGCCATGGAGGGCCTGGGAATCTCCAACAGTTTCTGAACTCCTTCGTGAGCCACAAACTCAGCTGCAAATTTTTTGTGTAACAACAGAGAGGCCAAGTACTGCAGAGGAGGAAAATAGCTGTTAAACAAGCAGATTGCAAACAACAGGGTTGAATGGCTAGCTCAATACACAAGTGTTATGGCGTTGCATGGCATGTTCCCATGAAGCCAACATAACGACCCATGCTACAAAGATGGTCAATAACGAAACATTCACTATATCACTCCTTCCCAAACTAGATTGTACTTTGAGGAAAAATTACAATAAATTAATACAACAGTTCCCCTCTATATCACCTCATTCCCATTACCTCCAGGTTTTCCTCCTTGAAGGCACTAGTTCATGCTATAGGCAAGGAATTCATTCAAGACCATGTATAAATGATACAGATATTGTGGCAGTCTGATGTATGCTCTAGCATATTTCAGCAAAGATCACAAGAAATAAATCAAAATCGAAAACACTGGATTTCCTCTTCCCACATTTTGCCTGGAACTCTTAGGCTAACTGACCTTAACAGTACGATTAGCCAAGCTGGGATCGGTTAACTCGGGGTAGAATGGAACATAAGGCACCCTCAGTGCACAGAAACAGAAGCTGAGAGAAATAAATGGGCCAAGATAGATGCTCAATCATGATCCCACTTAACAGTGGAGGGTCCGAGTCAATTTCTAGTCTGCTCTGAGGGTTGGCTGGCACTCAAGCAGTGGCACTTCTAAATTTTAAAATCAGTATAAGGACTTCTGGGCAAGGAACTGGAAAACTGACCAGAGTTCACCACTCTAATATACTTTATCTTGTGGAAATTGCACATGGATATTTCAGGAGATTTTGGAATTTCCTTCTTTAAAATGCAGTATAAACAGCCTTTGAATAGTTTTAAGGCTAAAATAGAACCTGGGTAAGCAAGGTGGTGAAGGATATCATGGGGTAGGTGGGAATGTGGAGTTGAGGCTGTCAGAAGCTCAGCCTTGATTTCATTGAATAGCAAAGCAGATTCTGGGGGTCAAGTGGCCTACTTGTAGGACAGAGTCAAGCTCATGCGATAAATGAACTGAATCAGTGGTCAGCCAAGCAAATTAATCAATACAAGATTAGCTGGCAGTACAGTAGCAAGCTCTGCCTCACAGTGCCAAGGACCTGGGTTTGATTCCAGCCTCGGGTGACTGTATGGAGTTTGCACATTCTCCCCGTGTCTGCATGGGTTTTCTCTGGGTGTTCTGGTTTCCTCCCACAGTTCAAAGATGTGCAGGTTAGGTGGATTGGCCATGCTAAATTGCCCATGGTGTTCAGGGATGGGAAACGCAGGTTTACAGGTACAGCATAGTGGGTAGGTCTGGGTGGGATGCTCTTTGGAGAGCAAGTGTGGACTCAATGGGCCGAATGGCCTGCTTCCACACTGTAGGCATTCTATGGCCCATTCCTTGATTTTCTCCCCATTCTTCCTGAAGATATTAACTAAAGGTGGGACCTAGCTAGTGTCTCTCTAATAAATCATTCAAATAGCCATTTATCTTCTGCAATCAGACATACCAATCATTGGAAGTAACAATAAACCTAGATTCCTAGCTTCTGTGACTCAGTTTTGCATCACACAACTCAATTACTTATCAAATCTTTGGAAAACTACACAAGACTGCTTTTACAACCAATACTGCACAGCAGTATTGTGTGAATTGGAACGCCCCATCAGCCCAAGCTTAATCAAATGTTGTCATACCTTAAGAGCTTCAAAAGTCAGCTGGACATCATTAGTCTGCTTCAGGTCAATGTAGTACATCAGCAGTTCTCGAGCACCAAGCTGCATGAACACAGCTAGCAACTGCCATAAATCAGAAACAACTCATTATTAAAAGGCCAGTCTGTGACTCTGTTTCTCTAACTGGATTGCAGACCAGTATGTGGTCAGAATAATGAAACTGCTCCACACGACTGACTATGACTGACATAAACTGAGCAAGATTTCAACCAAAAACCGAAGATCTGGATTGCTAGCTGTCACCGCCAATTTTGGGCACAAACTAGGGGATCAAAAAATGATACTTGGCTCCCTGATGTACCAGTGAAATCCACTGGCAGGACATCAGCATTTCACCAGGGACCTCATTCCAGACCCCAATGTTTTGCCATGGTTCAGCATATTCAAGCTAGTGAAGCCATCAACATTAACTCTTGGCCCTGTAATCCCTAGCAGCGAGACGTACTTTCACACAGCACAAAATACTGGATAATGACCAAGGATCCCTGGCTGATCTTCCATTTTCTAGCTCAAGAATATTGAGGTTAACTTCAGTAACCCTATTCTCAGCCATGGCTAAGATCAGCTAACAGCGCATGAACCATATAACTTTGGGCTTTTTGGCTCACTTTCATTCATTGAATGCCCATTAGGAGAACACCACCTTCTTCATTTTCCTCAAATTCCCAGACATCAATTATATTCACAATGGATAACTAAAGAATCTGTACTTTAATTATTAATTAGAAAAACTGCAGTATTCTTATTTGTGTTAATATTGAGAAGAGTGAATGCTGCAAGCCAAGTACATATCCTAGTATTGCACCATTTTTTATATCACAGACTGTACATCTTGCCTGTGTCACAGTTGCACACAAGAGACAAGCAAACTAGTTAATTTCAGCTGATTGCTTTTGATTCAAATCTGAAAACACAGCTTCACAATGTTCTCCAACCAAAGAGCAGAATTCATTTTTACAACTGTTAGGTTCAGTTTCCTTGAAAGAATACAGCTCCACTTATGGAACACTTTTTCATTAAAAAACAAAGCACAGAGAAACTCAGCAAGTCTGACAGCATACGTGAAGACAGGAAAACAAATATTAAAGTTAAGTTTGTTACAATTCTTTGTTTTGCATTATGTTATTTCACACACTCGTCCAAATAAAACACCGCCCTACAATAAGCAACTGCATCAGGGTAGGGGGTGTTAGTGTGGACTTGTTGGGTTGAATGGCCTGTTTCCGCACTGTGGGGATTCTATGTTTCTATGTGGGGACTGTAGAGGAAAACGGTAAAGGTAGGCCAGCGGTGAGTTATTGATTGGTAGAGCAGATTTGAGGAGCCAAATGCCTACTTCTGCTCCTATCTCCATCAGGACTTCAGCCGTGTGGTTGAGTGAGCTGGTGGTCTGTTTTCTGCTGAAATCTAGCATGGACTGATGGGATTAAAGATTGCTGGCTTCAAGAGTCCCGCATGGATAAATTTGTGAATCCGAGTCCAGGTCTAATGAGCATAGATTAACTGCACAGAACTAAAGGGAAGAACCTGCACTTATATAGTGCCTTTCACAGGCTCAGGACACTTCAAGTACTGAATAGTTAATGAATTACGTAGTCACCATTGTAACGCAAGGAAACGATTCCAAACTGATAAACCAGATTAGATGATTGCAGTGTGAAATGAGATTTCGCACTGGGTAGTGGGAGATGCACTTCTAGGATTGGAGGGGAGCATGTTTTTGAGAGGAGGGAAGTTTGTTCTAAATCTAAACATTCAAAACATTCACTCAAATAACTGCTGTCAGTGGATACTCTATATTATTAATCCTGTCACACAAAGAGTCATTAATGAAACCCAAATCCTGGCATTGAAGCAAAATGCTTCTGTTACTAGACTGACAATCAAGAGGCCTGCACTAATCATCCAGAGAACAAGTTCAAGTCACAATATGTAATTTTGAGAATATAAATTAAGCTTGTTTTCTAAAATATCTAGTTTAATTTAAAAAAGATACTAATAACAGCAAAAGTGACCATTAAGCAGTCAGATAGTTGTAAAACTCCACTTGAATTGTTAACGTTCTAGAGATTACTCCAATCCCAGGCAAACACCATTGACTTTTAACTAGCTATTGAATGATGCAATTGATTGGCTTGCTTAGGCCCAATCTGGACCAACCTTCAAGGATAATTAGGAACTGAAAATAAATGGCAGTCATGTGTGAAACACCCAAACCCCAACCAAGAACAACTGGGAAGAAAAAATTCAGCCTCATTGCTCACCTCCTGATACTCCCCTAAGGGTGTTAAGTATTGAAGAATTAACCTTTGCTCGATGGCAGAGGTCAAAGGGAAAAGATTATAATTATTGCCAATCACCCAAGATGACATTTCTGACCAGCTGTTTGACTGCTCGTTGCATATTCGTTCAGGGTCCAAGCTGGCAAAGTTGAGTCTTTGTTTGGTTGCTTTCCTTACATCCTCCCTCTCAGTCCTTCGTCCATCTTTCCCCTTTACACCATCCTCGCTTTCTGTGCTCTTGACAGTGGAGTTCATCCTGCTGCTGGTTTTATGTGAAGAAGTTATCTGGAAGGACACATCGTCAGTACAGTCCTCACCATCCTCAATTTTCGACGTGTCACCGTAGTCCATGTCCACTGCCTCCTCATCCATTGGAAGAAGTGAAGTGAAGTGTGGCTTCCGCGGGCTTTGCCATTTCATCTTCTGGTTGTTCTCCAAGTCCTGAAGCTGCAAATCTCGTAAGCGTTGCAACATTACTGGCACCTTCAAGCAAATCAGAAGTAAATCATTAATGCTGTGCATAACAGAAAGAAGGATCCCAATCTTATTTAGGAGCATCCACAGTATAAACAACCACGAGAATAACTGGCTTCATTTTTAAAACCAATTTTTATATTGTGGGTAAATATCATGTAACAATGAAAAGAACTTGCATTGGGAGTTTGAATAGTTGACTTCTCCTGAGAGCAACCACAGGGGTCTAAGAAAAGGTGTTTTACTTAAGTTCTCCAATACCTTCATCCTCAGGCTCCTGCAGTGCTCTCATTTTCTTACCTCAAGTGCTCTGTAGAAAGAATGAAGGCAGTGTTTATTCAAAAAAAACACTTCCCAATCAGTCAAATACTTCCATGTCCTTGATCATAAGTCACTGAAAAAACTATTTTCTAAATCAACCTATTCAGACTCACACCACTGGAACAGGTAGGACTTGAACCTAGGCCTCCTGGCTCTGAGGTAGGGTTACTACCACTGCATGCACCATAAAAGCAAGCTAGTTTACTAGGGCAGCAAGCAATAAGGAAAGCAAATGGTATAAGAACAGAAGTTGCTGGAAAAGCTCAGCAGGTCTGGCAGCATCTGTGAAGAAAAAAAAATCAGAGTTAATGTTTCAGGTCTGGTGACCCTTCCTCAGAACTCTGGAAAGCAAATGGTATGTTGGTCTTTATCACAACAGGATGCAAGTACCGGAATAAAGGTGCCTTGCTTCAATTGTATAGAACTTTGGTGAGATAGCTGAAAGAATAACTGAAGAATTTTGTACAGTTTATTGTCTTCTTATCTCAGGAAGGATATATTTGTCAAAAAGGGAGTGCAACAGAGGTTGACCAGATTCATTCCTGGGATGGCAGGATAGTCCAATGAGAGATGGAGGAGACTGGGCCTATGTACTTGAGGTTAGAAGACTAAGAGGTGATTTCATTGAAACTTATAAAATTCTTAAACGTCTAGACAGGGCAGATGCATGAACGATGCCTGGCTGGGCCAGGGTCTAGAACCAAGAAAGACATACGAAGAATAATAGGCAGGCCACTTAGGACTGAGATAAGGAGGTGGCTTTTCACTCAGAAGGCAGCAGATCTTTGGAATTCTCTGACCAAGAGCAGTGGAAGCTCAGCCCTCAAATACTTTCAAGACCAAAATTGAAATATTTCTAGAAATTAATTACATTGAGATACAAGGATAGCATGGGAAAATGGCAGTGAATAGACTATCAGTCACGATTTAACTGAATGGAGGATGAATAGCTGACACTTGCTCCTACATGTCCTCAAAGGTATCGGAGCAACCTAGTCACAAAATAACTTTTATGTATGTTCACACAGCAAATGTAGGACATGGAGTTTCCATTCCAGGCTACAAAGTGAATTGTTGTTTAAACAAGGGAGGTCTTTCCAATGGAGGTCACCAACTATGGAAAGGATGGATAGGAAGGAAGGAACTTTACACTGACTAAAGCCATCTCCTTGTATCCTTCGTTTTCCTGAAGAGCAGGGAGTAGACTGTAGGTGAGTACTTTCTTTTAAGTGAGGAATGATGTTTGACCCAAGGGGATCCATGACAATAAAAAATGAAGCACCTTGGATATATGAAAACAAGATAGCACACATTAGAGTACTGAACAGCAGGAAATTGTTTTGTACTGTTGATAAATGTCCTGCACTTCCACTTAATCTAATAACGTCCCATTAATATTCAAAAGGGCAAGTCTGAAGACAAACAATGGAACCAAATCTCCCTCCTGTCCTCATTCCTAATTATATTCACCTTGCAGATTGAGATAACCAGTCAAAACCTTATCCTCTTTTAAAGTTGCCTGAGTAACCTTGCTTTACTTTAACATCAGCAAGCTAATGGGGTCTCTAATGTTCTGCAGTGTTGCAAAATTTGTTTTAAACGCTGTTTTTTTGCATCTGTCCAGCTACTTGACTCCAAATTACGGTACCCCCCTCAACAACCGCCGCCACCACCACCCCTAATGGGTTTGTTTCCTGCTCCCCATCCCTTTCCAATTCAGTCTCTCAGCACCTCCCTCTCACGGGTTTCCATTCCTGCTCAAGACCCAGCATCATTCTGAAGCCGAACCTCTGATGTCATAGAAATGAGAATCCAATGGTTCAATGAAAGGGCTTTTACAATCTGTGGTTTCCAAAGCTGCTTATTCCTTGCTGCTCTTCTCCCAAGTCTTCTCTCTCAGAAAAGGTTCAGGGGAGGGAGATGGCAAGCAGGAGCATTTAAAAAACATTGGCAGCTTTGGATCAAATCTGAATCTGAATGTGGAATCTTGAACTAAAATGTGATCCAGTAAAAGAAGTGGTAAGAAAGTGGTTTGGGGAAGTGTTCAAATCTCAGGGTGGGCCGTGGAGGGGTTTGGGTCTGTAGTAATCAGGAGGATTACGGAGCAAGTGATTTGGGAAGCAGCATAGCTGCTAAAATAGTTCGCTAATGTAAAATATTTCAATTTAGAGGCTATAATATTTTACCATTTGTGTTTTTTTTGATAAGGTTTACAGAACTTTATAGTTTTAACATCATTTCCCATTAACATTTGGTTCCTATGGCAACCAATCTTTCATCTCGCGGTGCTTCAGTTGAAGTTGTGATTTCAGGAATACAATCACAACTTTAAGTGAATCATTTAGCGAAGTGAGGATTTAATATATTGCAAATCCATTGGCAACTTTGTTTGATGGAATTGTGAAATACAAACTTTGGGTTTCCTGAACCTTAAAGCAGCAGTATCACATTCCTTACCATTTGAGAGTTTTCTTCCCGGTAGTTGGCTGCAATGTCCTGGTTTTCCATAGCCCCAGCAAGGAGACCAGTGGCATAGGTTCTCAGTGGCTGGTCACTTTCCTTTGCCCATTTGAACAGGTTTTCAACAATTCCCTCCTAAAGAAAAAAATAGAGAACATTACAACAGTCTCTGCAATCTCACTCAACAAATAAATTCAACTTATGAGTGGACATCACTGACACTACAATTAAATGAAATGGAAAAATCATATTTGACTCAATTTTCTCAAATGTAGTGATTTGGGGATAGGGTGGGACAATGGAATTAAGGTAGGTGATCAACTGTGATCACACTGAATGGTGGAGCAGGTTCGTAGGTTCCATTCTGCTCCTATTTCTTGTATGATGTATGGAGCTTAATATCTCACAACTGAGACAGTATGAGGAGTTCGGATTTATCACGTACAGTAGAACATTTTGGCAGGGGAATGAAAAAAACTTATCACAACCAACCTAATTGAACGGTTTACAAATCAAAACATTGATGTCTGAATTTTACAGCTTTTAAAAAAAAATTAAAATGAATGAAAATCCTTTTAGAGGTTAAGATGCTCATAAGTACTTCAAGTTATGAGTGCGAGTACTTTAATTAATCCAGTATATGGTAAAGCTAAGTGCAGTGCCTTTCATCACTTGAGTACAATAAGGCTGGTTTTTGGCTTTTATACTTTATAAACTAGGATACAGATCAATAAACACCCTAACTCTGATCTGCATCCTTCGTCCTACCTTCTCCTGAAAGACAACAGCAGTTTCCAATCCAGGCATGATATCCAACAGCAGACGGCACGCTGAAGTGTTGACTGGAGGATCTCTACTGGTCATCACATACGTATTCACCAGCTGTCCAGGGGCATGAGAAAGGAATTAAGGAAAGGTGAGATTATATCATGAAGTAAAACAAACAAGTGTATGCTTATCTGTTCATAGACAAATGGCATGTTACTTTAGGACAGAATGTCTGTAAAATACTTTCACCCCTGCTGAGCCCATTAGGTAAAGGCAATGAGAGTCAACCATGCAAGAGACTTGATGTAGACTCATATCCAATAAAAACCATAACAACTGCAGATGCTGTAAATCAGAGACAAAAACACAAATTGCTGGATAAACTCAGCAGGTCTGACAGCATATGTGGACAGAAATCAGAATCAACATTTCAGTTCGAATGATCCTTCCTCAGAACAGACCTACATCTGGCTGTTTTACCTTGTCCAGAGTAACAGAAGCTGGCATGTATTTGAAAAGTGGTAAATTCAAACCTGCAAGTCTTTAGAATTATTGGCCTTGATTTTAAACAACAGCAGAACCTCCACATATAAAGTCCCTCCTTGTGACACAAGGAATGATTACAAGTATCAATATCAGATAAACAGATTCTGTGTCTTCCTCTTCGAATTTTAAAGTGTGGCAATCAGGCCACACATGAAACTCCAGTAAAGGCAGATGAGGGCCTAATTAACATACCAAAGTTCTAAAAGTCCAATGACTTCACAAAGCTGGAACATGACTGTTTAAAAGCAAATGAAACAAAAACAAAGAGAAGCTTGGCCTGAGGGATTCGCAGTAGCAGCTATCAGCTTCTTAAATAGAGACAACAAGAAAGGTCTAGGCCCGAAACGTCAGCCTCTCTGCTCCTATGATGCTGCTTGGCCTGCTGTGTTCATCCAGCCCTGCACCTTGTTGTCTCGGATTCACCAGCATCTGCAGTTCCTACTATCTCAGCTTCTTAAATAGTCTCATTTAGCACCTCATTACCAGCTAGAGAAGCAGAAGTGATGTATCCCCTCAAAAGCACTGCATTTAATTGTTTTCTAATCCCTCCTCACTCCGTGATCATTTAAATTCATGATCACCATCACCTACTCCAAAACTAGAATTAATAATCAGTCTTCGCGAAATGACAATCAGGTGACTGATTTTCCTCATACTTCCAAAGAAACCTGACAATCTCTCAAATAGTAACTCCTTAGTTCAACTAGATTATTTGATAGGAGTGGGCAATAAAGTGGAGTTGAAACAAAAGATCCATTCCCAATCACATCTTAGTCCTACACCTCCTCTTTTTTATCCACTCCCCCATCCCCAGCACATGTATGCACACACACACTAATATACTGACAGCAGATAGTAGGAACTGCAGATGCTGGAGAATCTGAGATAACAAGGTGTAGAGCTGGATGAACACAGCAGGCCAAGCAGCATCAGAGGAGCAGGAAGGCTGACGTTTCGGGCCTAGACCCTTTTTCATTTCTGTTTTTATTTTTAAAATGCCTCTTCCAATCAAAGCTTTTTCTCTTGACAAAACTTCATGTCAGTCCTAGGGAGACTGAGATGGAGCCAGTAAGGTGTGTTCAAGTCAGTCAACGTTGTTCAGTCGGGGGAACAAGGGACCAGACCGATGTGGATTCTCAGAGTCAACAGAGCGTGGAGCTGGATGAACACAGCAAGTCAGGCAGCGTCAGAGCAGCAGGAAAGTTGATGTTTGGGGGATTGGTCAGTGGGAAGGGTGGAGCAGATAGGCAGGGAAGAAGATGGACAAGTTGTATCAGGTCAAGGAAGCGAAGATGAGAGGGAGGGTTGGAAGTGGGATGAGGCCGGGGTGGCGGTGGGGGGGCAGATTTTAAAACTGGTGAATTCTACGTTCAGGCCATTGGGCTGTAGGCTCCTGAGGTGGAATACGAGGTGCTGCTCCTCCAGTTTATGTGTGGCGTCAATGTGGCACTGGAGGAGGCCCAGGATGGACAGGTCACCCAGGGAGTGGGAGGGGGGGTAGTTAAAATGGTTAGTGACTGGATGGTGTTGGTGATAATAGTGTACGGAGCACAGATGCTCCACAATTCTCAGTGATTTTCCTCTTTTCAGACCCATAAAGTGGAGAGTGGAACAAGAGAGAAGAGTCCATAATCCACTTGTTTGTGAGAGCCTGAGCATCAATAAATACAGTACTTTAACTCTTCAAAACCAGAAACTTCACTTAACTGCTAACAATGTTTCATTATTTACTGTGCAAACAGAGGCCTAAGCTGTTAAAACAGTTTACTAAAGCCATATGCACAGTAGTACCCCAACAGCAGTCGGTTCTTTCTTAAACTACGAGGCAAGGTCGCAGATCCTTTCGATCACAGAACAATGCCCCACTACAAATTCAAAGACCAGGAAGTCAAATTGATACTAGTTTCACCTTACAACCAAGACTGACAAAGCATTAATTTAAAAACAAGAAAACCAGATCAATGCTCTGGGCAGCCTGGGTAGCTCAGTTGGTACAGCATCAGACTTTTAATCTGAGTGTCCAGCGTTCAAGCCCCTACCTGGGTGCACTTTTCATCAGCCATTTTCAAATAGCACAACAGACTCGATGGGCCAAATGGCCTAATTCTGCACTTGTTCCTTATGGACATGGGCTCAAACCCCACCATGTGAGCTGGTGAAATTTAAACTCATTTAATACATTTGTAATATTAAATTAGCCCTGACAATGAAAATATCAATTGTAAAAACCCCACCCGGTACACTAACGTTTTGTAAGGAAGGAAATCTACAGTTCTTAATACGACTCCGGGTCCACAGAATATGGTTCACTCCCATCTGTTCTCTTGAATTGCTAAGGAAGCCAATTACTTCAAAGGTAATTATGAATAAGCAACAAATATCAGCCATGTCAGCAGTGCCCACATCCCAGGAAATATAGGAGAAAGAAAATCCTAATAGAATCTTACAACGCAGAAACAGATGCTTTGGACTAACTTGTCCATGCCGACCAAGTTTCCCAAACTAAATTAGTCCCACTTGTCTGCGTTTCGCCCATATCCCTCTAAACCTTTCCTATTTATGACTTTTAACTGTTGTAACTGCACTTGCACCTACCACTTCCTATGGCAGCTCACTGGCCCTCATGTCCCATTTAAATCTTTCTCCTCTCATCTTAAAAACATGCTCCCTAGTTATGAACTCACCCACCGTCGGGAAAAGACCTTTGCTATTTACCTTATCCATGCCCCTCGATTTTATAAACTTCTGTTAAGGTCACCTTCAGGGAGGGAAACTGCCTTCCTTACCGGGTCTGGCCTACATGTGACTCCAGACCCACAGCAATGTGGTTGACTATGAACTGTCCTCTGGGAAATTAGGGATGGGCAATAAATGCTGCCTAGCCAGCGACGCCCTCATCCCATTAGTGAATAAAGGGCCCCTCAACCTCCTACACTCCCAGCCTATCCTTATAACTGAAATCCTCCAGTCCCAGCAACGTCCTGGTGAATCTTTTCTGAACTCTCTCCAATTTAATAACATCCTTCCCATAAGCAGGGTGACCAGAACTGTACACAGTACTCCAAAAGTGGCCTCACCAACATCCTGTACAAACTCAACATGACGCCCCAACTCCTACACGTGATAGTCTGAGCAATGAACGCAAGCGTGCTTAAACACCCTGTCTAACCTGTTGTGCAACTTTCAAATAACTATGTATCTGAACCCCTTGGTCTTTCTGTTTGACAACACTATCCAGGACCTATCATTAATTGTATAATTCCTGCCCTTGTTTGTTTTAATAATTGTTTTAATAATAAAATACTTTGCATTTTTCCAAATTAAACTTCATCTGCGATTCCTCAAACCCACTGGCCCAATTGATCAAGATGCCTTTGTAACCTTAGATAATCTTCTTCACTGTCGACTATACTACTAATTTCGGTGCCATCTGCAAACTTACTAACCATGCTCCCTAAATTCTCATCCAAATCATTTATAACTAAATCACTGGTCACTGTCCTCTAATCTGGAAAAAACCTTCTAACCACCACCCTCTGTCTCCCACTGCCAAACCAATTTTGTATCCAATTGGCAAGCTCACCCTAAATCCGAAGTGATCTAACTTTACCAATTATTCTATCATGCGGAAACTTGTCAAAGGCTTTAATAAAATCCATGTAGACAATGTCTCCTGCTCTGCCCTCAATCTTTTTGGTTACATCATCAAAAAATTCAATAGGTTTATGAGACACGATTTCCCACAAACAAAACCATGCTGACTATCCCTAATCAGTCCTTGCCTTTCCAAATGCATGTGAAGCCTATGTCTCAGAATTCCATCCAACAACGTACCCATCACTGATACCAAAGTCACTGGTCTATCGTTCGCAGGCTTCTCCTTGCAGCCTTTTTTAAATAAAGGCACATTAGCCACCCTCTAGTCCTCCAGCACCTCAACCATGATTATAGGTGATACAAATATCTCTGCTAGGGGCCCCGCAATTTCATCCCTATGAATTATTAAAAATCTGTTTGTCTATGAATTTAAAAACAATTCTTGATACCTGTGTAACAAAATACAGTTACTTTCAATCTGTTCACCTTTACTGGTTTTAGAAACAGGATGGAACAGTTCCATCCAAAAGGGATGGACTTGATGGGTGAGATCAGAGCCAAGGAAAGATTAAATGATGATGGATACAGGTTCAATAGAAACAGCAGGTGACTGAATTAATTAGGTAGCCCTAACAAAAAGCTGTTCACCCCTTCCAACTCAATTTTGATTTAGCTCCCCTCCCCCTACCTCTCCTTCACCTTTAATGGTTCACATTCTCCTTAATGGGCTCTGCACGCAAATGAATCAATTTGTAAACACAGGGCGACTTACTGGTGGTGGCTAATAGAGGAAAAAACTATGCATGATATGGTGATGTGAAACAAAAACACTCAGTTGTTTGTGCCAGGAGGCCCACGTTCAAGACCTGTCTGCTCTAGAGATGTGTAGTAACATGTCTGAACAAAATGATTAGAAAAAGGATCACAAAACAGCTGCCAACAAACATAATATGCAAAATGGTCTCCTTCTGTGCTTTTGGTCAGGGTCATAATGGAATAGAAGGTAGACATTCGACGTAATGGGTCCATGGGTTGCTCTCCAGAGCTGATAATCAACTTTGAGAACCCATGCTACCCCCAAAACCATGTCAATTTGTTTCTCTTTAGTGCGAATCCAATTTCCTTTCGCAATCATTGATTGCTTCTGTACTTATCATCCCCCAATAGGGGAAGTGTATCATTGCCCAGTTCTAAAAGGGATGGGCTTCAGTGAAAAGGCTCTTCCTCATTCGTAATTGTGCCTTTAGTTAGCCGTTCACTGGACCTGCACTACAGAGCAGTGGGCATACTTACCGCATTCATGAAATCATCATTTTTGAAGAGTATTTTTAATAGATGTCCCAATCTACATTCTGGATCTGCTCGACCTGCAAGAGATACATTAAGTGTATGTTCAAAACATTGACACATTTTTCATGATAGATTTCAGTAATCAAGTTGCAACTTTAATATTTGTTGGTTCAGGTCAGAGTTTTTTTATATAAAAGTCATGCCAATATTTCAGACATAAGCGATACCTTTGCAGAAAAGCCCAGAAAATGGTGTGAGATATTAGTTCAGTAACATGCACCTTCCTCTTAAATAATAAAAATGCCAAGTTGGAAAGATGTAGAAAAGAGCTGGATTTCTAGATCCCTGGAATTTCTCTCTTCATGGTTATGGTGACTTTGAAAAAGTTGCACAAGTCGGAGGGGAAGGACAGGATGAGTGCTGTTTTAAAGTACCAATGGCAACTGAGCATCTGCAAGTTACGAGATAATGCAAAGATATGTCAGATATGACCGTATCTCAGTTATACCACAGCAGTATCAATATAACCTGCAAAAAAAAAAAAAAAAAAATTGGAGGAATTCACCTGGCCAATTGACTTCCACTTTGTAACCAGTTGGCTGAAGCTGGTGGGTCAGGAACCAGCAGCTTTGGTGCCAGTCTTCAGCAAGAGGTTTCAGTCAAAGTACCTCACCACTTAAGTTATTCCACACAATTTCCAATTGCATTGCTGACTACCATTCTCCAGAAGATTCACAGAATCCCTACAGTGTGGAAACAGGCCATTTGGCCCAACAAGTCCACACTGGCCCTCTGAAGAGGATCCCACCCAGATCCATCCCCCTTCCCTATCCCTGCGCATTTCCCATCGCTAATGCACCTAAACAACACATCCCTGGACACTATGGGCAATTTAGCATGGCCAATCCACCTAGCTCGCACATCTTTGGACTGCGGGAGGAAACTAGAGCACCCGGAGGAAACCCACGCAGACACAGGGAGAATGTGCAAACACCACAAAGACAGTCGCCCGAGGGTGGAATTGAACCCAGGTCTCTGGTGCTGCGAGGCAGCAGTGCTAACCACTGAGACACCGTGCCACCCAGAAGGCTGGGCACATATCAGAATCTAATCTTTTGCATGTTTCTTTCCATGTCTTACTGTCATTCATTTCATCTTTTGCACTACCAATTTTATTTCTTTTGCACCACCAACTTTTTCTGCTTTCAAGCCAGTGCACTCTTTCAAGGCTGCTCCATTTTTTACTAAGGTACCTCAAGTCATCTTTCAACTCTATCCCCACATTTATCAATTCCATTAGTGTCCAAACGTTTACACATCAGTTTTATATACCAAATGACTCAATATCCACTGACCCTGGGACAATTTAAAGATTAACAATGTGGTGAAGAAATTCATCCTCATCTTGGTCCTAAATTCTCACTCCTAATTCTGATACTACACTCCTTAGTTTTAGGCAACCCAACATTTGCTCAGCACATGCCTCATCAAAATCCCTTTAATTTTGTACGTTTCAGCAAGATCACCTTGGATCTTTCAAAACTCAAAGGAATGTAGTTGACATGACATAAAGGTACTGTAAATAAATATTTTCCAATTAACCCGTTCAGAGATGTCACTAACACGTCTGGCATATGTGGGACTTTAATCTGGGTCACCTGGGTCAGAGATAGAGGTACTAGCACTGCACCACAAAAGCCCCAAAGTATTGTAAATACAGTATATGTTAAAATTCCACTCACTTGCAGAAGTTTTAATGACAGGCTTCTTCCAAAGGCATACGTTGGTTGGTGCACTACTTGCACTAACCAGCTTCTGTCATTAGGTGGAGTCCAGTACCTTAGCATAAGCTCAGGACGGAACTGAGACAGAAACAGGCACCGAAGACTTTAAGGTAAGATCAGAAGGCAGGAATGGGAGTCAGGCCCGGGAGAGAGGAGCATCTGAGGACAGGGGCAGGAAGTGGACAAAGACCAGAGTGACTGAATGCTGGAGTGGAAGCATGAAGAAATGGCCTTGAGAACAGGCAAGCAACAAAACAGGAACTCATTAACTAAAAAAGGCTAACTGCTGTGTAGCTCCCTGTTTTCTTTCTCCTTCCTTGAAAGCAGGGCCACCATTGATATGAATGCTCAAGCGCAACGGAGAAACAGTGGACGTGCAGCACATTTATATAAGTGAGTACATGGCATTTCATGGCACGGGTCCCATAGAAATCATTATGTTCTTCGTGGAGTCCAGTTAAACAATTACGGTGGAATTCTGTTTTAACTGCTTTTAGAAGGTGGCAATGTAGCTGAACTCAGTTAATTTTTATTGCTATACCAAACAAAGATTTCACCAAGCGCCAAATACAACATTTATTTGTCCCTGTGGCAGAGCAGACTGCTACCTTGTCATATACAGTATTCAGTTGGGTCTATCCACTAAATAGTCACGCGACAGACCATTAGCATACAAAGCTTATTTCACGGTCTTGGTTATTGCTGCACAGTTCAAAGGCAGTCTCTTCTCAGATAATGCTAGTGAAATTTGACCAGTAGATCAGCAGATGCCACCATACCTAGTTAAATGCAAGATGTTAAGCTTACCAGGGTGCCTATCATCAAATGGATCAGGGTCAGCCTTATGGTACTCCTCAGTCTCTTTCTCAATTAGGTCTGAAATCCTGAAACAAAAAGAGAACGTTTTCAGTACAGTAACGGAGTACTATTTTTAGGTGAAAGTGGAATTAATTAGATTAATGCTTCTCAAGCACAATCTTTTATTGAGTTTTAATAAAACTTTCTAAGAAAAAGATGTTTGCTAATGCCAATAGAATACAAATGTAGTTTAAGAAAATGAGACAAATGAATTATATTTTACCTCTGAATTTGAACTGATAAAATGGCTCAAACACAAACTATTTCAACGATGCACACTCATTCGCACATCCAGACTCAGTTACACCAACACCTGACCTGCTTCAATGTGATCAGACAAGTTCAACTTTCTAAAGTGAGAACCTTGATGCTTGTAAAGCTGATCATTTTATCGGGAAATGGAAAACCTTTCCACCTTGTGCAGTCAGTGTTTGCATCAAGCACTAGCATGTGCAGTTATTACAAATTAGAAGCAGAATAAAGATCCCTACAATCCCCATCCCTTAGACACAGATCTCCCAAAACTGTGGTGAGTATGTCTCAACTCCTGCCTTCCTCCGCCTCACCATCCCAACAAATCTGGTTGAATTTTTTTTTGAGGTGACCAAATGTCTAGATGAGGGGAGTGCATTTGGTGTAGTGGATACAGATTTCAGTAAGGCCTTCGACAAATTCCCACATAGGAGACCGATAAAGTTTCTTTAAAAGCACATAGGACCCAGGGTAACTTGGCAAGATGGATATCCAAATCTGTATCCACCACACCAAATGCACTCCCCTCATCTAGACCTTTGGTCACCTCAAAAAAAATTCAACCAGATTTGGTTTAGTGACAGGAGACAGAAGGTGGTGGTAGAAGGCTGTTTGCGTGACTGGCGGAATATATATATAATATAATTATATAATATGCGTGTGTGTGTGTGTAAATGACATGGGGGGGGGAATGAGGAGAAGAGAAAGAGAAAGAGAAAGAGAAACAGGAAGAGGAGCTCAGTAAACTTGCAGATGACACAAACATTGCTAAGTTCCTGGGGTGCTTGTCCACGAATCCCCGAAGGAAACAGAGCAGGTTAATAGAGTGATTAAGAAAGCACAGGGCATACTTGCCTTTATCAGTCGTGGCATAGATTATAAGAGCTGGGAGAGCTGTACAGGTCTTTAGTACTGCGTGCAGTTCTAGTCACCACACTACAGGAAGGATGTGACTGCAATGCAGAGGGGAAGGAGGAGATTCACCAGGATGTTGCCTGGCATGGAGCATCTTACCTTCGAAGAGAGGCTGGATAACCTCAGGTTGCTTTCTTTGGAGCAGTGAAGGTTGAGGGAGACTTGGTAGAGATGTACAGGATTATGAGACATGGATAGAGTGTGCAGAAAGCAGCTGTTTCCCTTAGTTGAAGGGTCAATAACAAGGGACATAACTTTAAGGTGAAAAGCAGGAAGTTTGGACAGGACTTGAGGAATAGTTTTCATGCCCAGAGGGTTCTGGAATCTGACTGCACTCCTTGGGAGGGTAGTTGAGGCAGGTAACCTTTCAACCTTTATAAAGTACTTAGATGAGCACTTGAAGTGGCATGCATGACATTCAAAGCTATGGGCCCAGTGCAGGAAAGCAGGACTAGTGTAGACTGGGTGTATTTTTGGTAGTATAGATTCGATGGACCAAAGGGCCCCTTCTGTTTTATATGATTCCAATGATGATCCCAGTACATACACGCAACCTACCCCAGCGAATCATATCTTCCCTACCTGCAACATCCAAGTCTCCAATCAAACTGCCTTAAAATCCCAAGATAAACAAACATTCTTTATTTTGTTTTAGTCCTAACATTCGACCTCTACCACCCCAAGAGGGAATTTAATAAGTTTAAACTGCTTACTTGGTCAAGACAGGGACAATGTTCTGCCCATTGTTGTTCTCCCTCTCCCACTGTTCCAGTAATGAGGTGAGCTCGGCTTTGGAATCAACATTTGTAGTAACCGAAGCCATTGCTGAGCCTGGTGAGAGACCAGAGGGGAAAAAAAAAACAAACTGTTAGACCTCCATAGCATCACTTACTACATCTCCATTGCACCTGAGATAAACTATTGATGTTCAAAGTGAAATTTTAATTCTATCCTAATTTTAGCTGTTAAACAACGCTAGGCTGGGAGCCTACCAAAATGCTTGACGTCTGTTTATGCTAACAGTGCTGTACCAGTAAAACATCACACACAATTGTAAAAGCTTTGCGATTTTCATGGTTAAAAGAATTATACAATTTACTGTTGAATCTTATAGGCTCGGAGTGTGTTAGCCTTCTGTGACTTTTCCCAGCCAGAATATGCTCAGGAGACAAGTTGATCATTAAATGTTTTTCCCGTTCTCCCCAATCTAATGTAAGTTCTACTTAGTCAAAGTCAGTTTAGAGAGCAATGTTGATTTATCGAATCTAGTAGACTAAATCCAAACAAGGGTTTCTCTCTAATTACCATATGTTAAGATCAGATCATCTGTTGCACTATGTTTTAAGCAGGAGTCAGTGTCATTCAGTGCTTAGCTCATTTCCATCTCCCAGCAAATGTCTAAGAAAGTATGACATTGATATTGTAAAATAGCTCTGGAATGTATTGCAGTACACACTCCTTTGCCTGTTTCAAAAGCTTCAGAGCTTCTCTGGTTGTGGGTTATGGATCAAAGAGCTTTGTCACTACTCCTTGACCCCGTGCTGTTCAGCTAAAGGCATCATTATCTCACCCTCCATCCTGCAAGAGGCCCTTACTGTAGAGGAGAAATTGCATGGGTGAATAGGAAGATTCCAGGTGGAGCACTTTAGTTCAATCAGGTGCAAATAAAATGGCACAACTCCAAGACAGTAATCTCATTCCAAAGTTCATAATAAGGTGCAAGCACCTGAGTTTTCCCTCAGATTGTCCCACCAGACCTTGAACTTTATATCAGTCTAAAATCACTTCTGAAAAATCTACCCATTGATCCAGTCATCAGCTGCTTAATTCCACGTTTACAGATGAGGCAGCAGCTAATCTATTGTAATCTTGTGCAACGCTAATTAATTGCTTTAAATTTCTCCCAACATTTGTCATAGACTCAAATAACTACACTTCATTGCAATGTTACATTGCACAAAATGCACCACAGCTGGGAACACAAAGGCACATGTAGACTTGTATCTTTACTGTTTAGACAACTTAAGGCTTGACACATCATTACATTTTATCAAAATTGCATAATTTACTTTATACAGGAACTAACATACTAAAAATGCCAAAATATAATCAACGAAAAGTTGATATCATCCATATGAGGAAGTACTAGGACAATTGGTCAGAGCTAGACAGATGGGGAGGCTTAAAGAAAAAATAAGAGTTTTGGCCTTCGCAGGTGAACGGGAATAGCAGTGATGAAAACTGAGCGTGAGTGAAAGGCCAGAAGTAACACAGCAGAAAGGTCATGAAGGAAGGTTTGCACAGATGGAAGAGTACAAGGTGTAGGATGTGCTCAGGCCACAGCGGCACACAAGAATGAAAAGCTTAAAATCAAGATCAACAAGTGCAAGGATGAAAAGTGAATGGGACTTGGTATGAATTACATGAAGTTCAGGACAAGCCCAAGTTAATGGGGGTGTAAAGTGGGTGACCAGCCAGGATTGCATTGGAATTGTTGTAGAGGAACTGGAGACATGGAGAGGGTTTCAGGAGGTGAGCTGAGACAGGCAATGTTACAGCACTGAGAGCAGGTAGGTCTTGGTGACGGACAGGATATGGGATTGAAGACCAATTCAGGATCAAACAGAAAACAACGATGCTTTCAGCTGCCATGGCTGCTGTGTTTAAATGAAGGACAAAATCAATAAGATAAAACCCCAAGTATTTGAAGACAACCAACAGGGCTTGACACTTCAAGGGTGCTAATAAATAATCTCAATTGGTATTAATGGACCCTCCCTTCTACACTCAAAGTTGTGGGCTCAAGTTCCACTTTAGGTCTTGAGAACATAATTCAGACTGACAGTCCGGTGCTGCCTATGGCGACTCAGACAATGCGTCATGCAAATATGTACAAGGAAGGAAAAAGACTATGAAATATTCAAATAACAACAAGGTATTCATTTAACCACCACTACCAAATAGATTAACCAGTTACTTTTCTCACTACTCTGTGTGGGAGTATGTTGTGCTCAAACTGGCTGCCATTTCTTCCTACATATCAATAACAATACTTCAAAAGTAATTAGTTTTCTGTGCCAAATGTGGAAGTATAGCAATGTGTAGGGAACCCCAGCATGTTTCTCCCTTTGAGTCAGCGGCAAGTCTGTTGACTGGGTCACGTGAGCAAAATGAATGATGGCTACATTCTCAGAGACTACTCTATAGCGGGCTCGCTATTGGCACCAAAGCCACAGGGCACCCACATCTAGCGAGACCACTGCTTGATTACAATCAGAGTCAATGCATGGGAACTCCTTACTGCCAACCAGTGTCAGCAGACATGCAGTCAGGAAGCATGTGGAAGAAACAGATGACAAAAGTAATGACCAGACTGTGGAAGAGAGAATCCACAAGAGGGAACAAATATCAATTGAGCACAGGCCAACCCTATTCAGCTGTGCCAGCTGCAGAGGGGACACAATTAGTCTCTATAAATCATAACAGACCACATTCAATCCAGAGGCAACATATGAAAACAAACACATTAGGGACAGCATAAAAGCAAAAGAAAAAAACATACCATGTGGTGATGATTAGTTGGAATCCAGAGGATTGTGAATCTTTTAAACACCAGCAGAGCATAACTAAAAGTGCAAGAAGGGGACAGAAGATGAAGCATGAGAGTAAGCTAGCTAGTAATACAAAAAGAAGATTGCAGGAGTCTTTTTAGATGCCTGAAAGGTGAGAGATGGGCAAAAGTGGGCATTGAACTGCTTGAAAATGAGGCTGCAGAAGTAGTAGTAGTAAAAAAAAAAAGAAGAACTGAAATAGGTACTTTGCATCAGCTTTCACAGTGGAATACACCAGCAGCGTACAAGAACTTCAAGAGAGTCAAGGGGCAGAGGTAAGTGTGGTGATCATCACTAAGGAGAAGGGTACTAGGGAAGCTGAAAGATCTTAAGGTGGATAAATGACCCCGGCCCAGATGGACTATACCCCAAGAGTTCTGAAGGAGATAGGTGAGGAGATTGGTGGTGATCTTTCAGGAATCACTGGAGCCAAGAAGGGTTCCAAAGGACTGGAAAATAGCTATGAAACAACCCTATTTAAGAAAGGAGGGAGGCATAAAACAGGAAACTACAGGCCAGTTAATCTGACCTCAGCTGTAAGCAGGATTTGAGAGTTCATTATTGAGGATGAAATTGCAGAAGTACTTGGAGGTGCATGGTAAATTCATGCTGAGTCAGCACAACTTTGTCAAAGGGAGGTCATGCTTGGCAAATGTTAGAATTTTTTTGAGGTGATAATGAACAAGATGGACAATGGAGAATCAGAGGACATGATCTATTTGGATTTCCAGAAGGCCACTGACAAGGAGGCTGCTAAATAGGATACAGCTCATGGTGTTAGGGGCAAGACAATGGCATGTTTTGAGGATTAACTGACTGTCAGAAGACAGAGAGTGGGGATAAAGTGGTCTATTTCAGGATGACAGCTGTTGACTAATGGAGTTCCGCAGTGGTCTGTGTTGGGACCACAACTATTCATACTATACATGAGTGATCTGGACGGAGGAACTGAGGGCATCATTGCTAAGTTTGCAAGTGACACAAAAGATGGGTGAAGGGACAGGTAGTGTTAAGGAAGCAGGGAAGCTGGAGAAGGACTTGGACAGGCTAGGAGAATGGGCAAAGAAATGGCAGACGAATACGTTGCGGAAAAATGTGAGGTTATGCATTTTCGTGGGAAGAAGAGATATAGACTATTTTCTAAGTGGGAGAAAGTTTCAGAAATCTGAAGCACAAAGGGACTTGGAGTCCGAAGTTAGGATTCTCAACATTAAAATGCAGGTTCAGTTGACAGTTAGGAAGGCAACGTTAGCTTCATTTCAAGAGGACTAGAGTACAAGGGCAGAAATGTACTGTTGAGGCTGTAAAAGGATATAGTCAGCCCATATTTAGAATATTGAGAGCAGTTTTGGGCGGCATATCTAAGGAAGGATGTGCTGGAATTGAAGGGGGTCCAAAAAAGATTGACAAGAATGATCCTGGGATGAAGGGCTTTGTCATACCAGCAGCGGTTGAGGACTCTGGGTTCGTACTTTTTAGGAGGAGGAGGGAAATCTGATTGAAACTTACAGAATAATGAGAGGCCTAGATAGAGTGGACATGGAGATGTTTCCATTAATTGGAGAAACTAGGACCCGAGGCACAGCCTCAGAGAGAAGGGACGACCCTTTAGAGCTGAGGTGAGGAGGAATTTCTTCAGCTACAAGATGGCTAATCTGTGGAGCTCATTGCTGCAGAGGACTGTGGTGGCCAAGTCATTGAATGTATTTAAGACAGAGATAGTTAGGTTCTTGATTGATCACGGTGTCAAGGGTTATGGGGAGAAAACAGGACAATGGGGTTGAGAAACAGGTCAGGCACGATCGAATGGTGGAGCAGACTTGATGGGCCAAATGGGCTAATTCTGCTCCTATGTCTTATGGTCTTACAACCCGAGCACACACTGTCTCCTAAGATTGACAAATGTCATTATTAGTACTTTACTAAATTAGTATAATACTCACTTACAACTAGTTTATATTCTCTTTTGTGCAAGGACTGGCATTTAAAACATTGTGAAGCATTTTATTCTAAAAAACTGCATTTCAAGCTAAAGGAGGAGATATTGGGAAAGGAGGAGGTGTCTAATCTTCACTCAGACATGGATATTAGAGACAGCAGAGGAAATCCCAATGTGTAAAGGTGAAGTCATGTCTCCTAACAGCGGCCAGCGTGTTGGATACACAACAGTCAGAATTGGAGGAATATAGTTAAGTAAACAGCATTGATTCAGCACTTCCC